TATTGTACACTTGGCGCATATGACACAGAGTTAGAAGGCAGTTTATTTGTGTTTTTGTTCATTCACATATCACAAAACAGTGGGGGTGGGTACAGAAGAGAAAGGGTGGGGTTCAGGGTACAGGTTACATTGGTTGATTTTGTAACTTTATTACATATTTGTACTGGTTCTGGTTGCAACATTCTTGTTCTGGTAGTCAGTTTTACACCTTGTCTTGGTTTATCATACTTGTGTGTACCAGAGTGTGTTTGGGGAACAGTGCTCTGTTGCTTACATGGTCAAATACTTATTTGCCTTGTCTCCCGGTGGTGAGTGTACCTCTCTATTTGGTTACGGTTTTACCCATATTTTTGTCTCTCCGGTGGTTATAGGTTGGTGCTCGATACTCCTCTATGTATCATTTGTTGTGTGGTGCAATCGCTCGCTCTTCGGGCGGGGGGAAAAAGGGGGACGAGATGGGGATTGCGTCTTGTTGCATATTAGTGGGTTTCATGATTTTTTCCCACGTCCTGTGGGCTTCTCGTACGCTCGGGCGGGTGCCGAATTGTGTCGTTGCCATTAATTCGTATGTCCAGTTTTGATCTATTTGCCCTATCAACTCGGCTATTGATGGTGTTGTGGTTTTTTTCCATAGCCTGGATATCAGCAAGTTTGCTGATACTAAGGTGTGGTACGTAATGATTCTAATGTGTTTTGGGGTGCTAACTGGTAACATGAATAGTAGACACTCCTGAGGATTATCCACCCTTATGTTGTGCAATATTTTTTGAAGCAGTTTGGTCACCGCTTCCCAAAATGGGCTTATTTTGTCACAGGACCACCAGATGTGGAGCATCGCGCCCACCTCCCTCCCGCACAAGTTGCTTGTTTGGGGCTATATTTTGTGTAGCTTTGCTGGTACCAAGTACGATCGGTACATAATTTTACGTTGCAGTTCTAGGTGTGTGGCGCACGCTGTGAGCCCTCGGTGGACCGAATATGCCCTGTCCCATTCTTCATTTGAGAATGTCTGACCTATTTCCCTGTGCCAGTCCTTTTTGATCTGTTCTAGTGCGTGTGTTTGTGTTGAGACTAGCTTATGGTATCCCCAGGACATTGCTTTCTTTAGTGGTGCTGTTCCTACACATTGTCGTTCGAAGATCGTCATGGCTTTTTCGTCTTCTATTCCCGGTTGGTTTTTTAAATTGCCTGCTACATATGATTTGAGCTGCAGGTAGGAGAATGTGGTTGTGGTGGGGAGTGTATAGTCTGCTTGGATGTCTGGTAGTGTTTTCAGTTTGCCTCTGTCAATGACTTGGTATATGTGGTGGATTCCCCCTCTCTTCCAGATGTCCCCGTGAAATGTGGGTATTTCCATGCCTATTGTTTGTATTGGCATGGCCATGGGTAACTTGGGATTAGACACTAATTTGTTCCTCGTTGTGTTCCACACCCTCAACAGGTTCTGTGTGCTAGGTAACAGAGTTTCTCGTATGAGTTTTGGGCATTTCTGTAGCCATAATACCGCTCGGAGGTCGTGTTGTGGGGCCCAGTAGAATTCTATTGCTACCCATTGTGGGGCTTGGGCTGGGAGATTAATTTGGGCTATGTTGTGGAGGTACGCTGCACTACAGTATGCCGTTAGATTTGGCAAACCCTTTCCGCCTTTGCTCACCGTTTGGTGTAGCGTTCCCGCTGCTACTCGTGCCTTTTTTCCTTCCCATATGAATGTGTTTAGGATGTGTTGCATGCTTTTTAAGAACCGTTTCGGGATGGGTATTTGCAGTGTGCGAAAGAGATATTGGATTTTGGGTAGGAGTGTCATCTTTACTGCTGCTATACGGCCTGTCCATGATAGAAATTTTCCTTTCCACTTTTGCATGGTGTCTATAATTTCTGTTTGTATGCGCTCGTAGTTTAGTTTAAAGAGATGTGCTGGGTTTTTGGGGAGCTTAAGTTCCAGAAAAGTCAAGTAGTCATTTCTCCAGTCCAGTGGGAATGCCGTCTGCAATCTGCCCATCAAATCCGTGCTCAGTCCCATCCCCAAGGCTTGTGTCTTGGTGATATTTAACTTATAGTACGAGACCTCCCCATATTCACGTATTTGTGCCATTAGGTTTGGCAGTGATGTTAGGGGTTGCGTGGTTGTCACTAGGATATCGTCCGCAAAGAGGTTGAGTTTGTATTCTCTGTCTCCCAGGGTTATTCCCTTTATGGAGCGATTTGCTCTTATTGTTGCTGCCAGCGGCTCCAGCGCCAGAATGTACAGTAGCGGGGATAGGGGGCAGCCCTGTCGCAATCCATTGGTTATTTTAATCTGTTTAGATATAAAACCTGCGTTGAGCACTCTTGCTGTGGGGTGGGAATATAATGTTTTCACTGCATTCAAGAACCTCTGGGGAAATTTGTATTTTTGGAGCACAGCTTCCAGGAATGGCCAGTTTAGACGATCAAATGCTTTTTCGGCATCCAGGGAGAGGAGGACCCCCCACCCTCCTGGCTCCGAAGTAAGCTTTGCATTAGGTCCACTACCTTCCTTGTATTATCAGACGCTTGTCGACCAGTGGTGACCACTTGGTCGTCGTGTATCAGCGTGGGGATGATGTGGGTCAGCCTAGTGGCTTGGATTTTTGCGTATAATTTAGTGTCAGTGTTGAGCAGTGAGATTGGTCTAAAGTTTTGGCTGCACAGGGTTTTTTTTCCCAGTTTAGGTAGTGTGACAATGTGGGTTCCTAGCATGTCTGCAGGAGCCTCTCCTTTTTGTGTTGCTGCATTAAACAGATTCGCTAGATGTGGGGCCAGTATTCCCGCATATTTCTTATAGTAGGTGTTCGTGAGACCGTCTGGGCCAGGTGCCTTCCCAGAAGGTAGGCGTGTGATGGCTTGTAGAACCTCTGTTGTGGTAATGGGCGCATGCAGGGATTCTATTTGTTCCTCTGATAGGGAGGGTAGGGTTATGTTGTCCAGGTAGCGTTCTATGTTCCCAGGGGTTGGGTGTGTCGTGTTTGGGTCCTGCCCTATGTTATACAGTGTCGTGTAATAGTCAGCAAAGATGTCGCTGATTTCTTTTGGTGTCACCTTTTTTTCCCTGTTTGGGTTTAGCAGGTATGGGATCTTGGCTTTTACGCTTTGTTGTGTTAGTCTTCTGGCTAGGAGTTTGCTCGCCCTGTTCCCCTGCGTGTATTGCATTGCTTTGAGTTTCCTAAGGCTAAATCCCATTTTTGCTAGGTCATGTTCCCTGAGTTCGTCTAACTTCTCTTTTATTTGTGTTTTTAAAAGTGGTGTTGGGGTCAATTGGTTTTGTTTGTTAAGGCGGTATAGGACTTTCAAACATCCCTTCAGTTTCGCTTGTGATTTCTGTTTCAATGCACTGGTTTTCCCTATGATCAGTCCTCTGATTACTGGCTTGTGTGCTTGCCATAGGGTTTCAGGGGAGATGTCTGGGTGTGCGTTTGTCGTGAAGTATTGCTTAATGTCTTCGGCTAGGTGTTCGCCGAAAAGCTCATTGTGTAGTATTGATTCATTGAGCCGCCAGGGGCTGCGATGCTTATAATCATAGGCATCTTGTAGTTCTAGGGTTATAGGGGCATGATCTGACCATGTGATGGTGCCTATGGAGCAGTCCTTTAGTTGATTTAGGAACGTGCCTTTTATGTAGAACCCGTCTATGCGTGAGTAGGTGTTGTGCACTTGGGAGAAGAAAGTGAAGTCTCTCTCCTCTGGGTGCAGCACCCTCCATGCGTCATATAAGTCGTGCTCACTTAGTGGCTTGCATTCCCGTGTTAGTGTTGCTGATCTGGGGGTGTGGGACCGATGTGTCCCATCTTGGGTCCAGAATGTGGTTCATATCCCCACATATGATGGTGATTCCTCTCTGTAGCGGTGTGAGTTGTACGAGTAGTTTGTGTAGGAAGTTTTTCTGTTTTGTGCGTATATGTTAATTATTTTGTGTTCCACGTTGTTGTTTTCGCACACTAATATTATGTATCTCCCTTGCGTATCTACGGATTCATATATCAGCTTGAAGGACACATCTCTACTGATTAAGATCGACACTCCCCTTGTATTGGAAGTGTAGGTGCTGTGATACTGCGTGGGGAAGTGTGCCTGCGCTATGATTGTTGTCTGTTTAAGGTGGGTTTCTTGTAAGCATACAACATCTGGGTGTACTCTGCGCAGATCCCTGACTAAGCAATGTCTTTTGACTGTGATGTTTAACCCTTTTACGTTATGGCAGTATATTTTCATGTTCTGTTGAGTTTACTGCTGGTCGGTAATGTGGTTCTTTAGTTGGCGAGGACTTTCTGTTAGCCCTTCTTACACCTCTGTTTCCTCTGTTTCTACACTTTTGCGCTATATCTCTGTTGCCTGTGCTCCAATCGGCCGACTGAGCTTCCTGTGGTTTCCCATGCGTGGGTGTGTTCCCTCTCTGGTTTTTGCATTCCCTGTCTTTGTGCATTTTCCTGGGTTCTAGTACCCGTCTGGTGGGTATGGGGTGGGTGGGGGGGGGGGTCAACACCAATGCAATAGGTATTCATAACATACGAATAAAACATTACATCAGTCAACATATATACAGTAACAGTTGTGTACATTTCCCAATGTAGGGTGAGGCACCAACTGGATAGTGCCGAGTGTGGACGTGGTTGTTGTGTGTGTTTCTGAGATTTAAAGGTTAGTGGGTGAGCTTGCTGAGCCCGATATTTGCTGTCGTGTTTCTCAAGGCAGCTGTGTTTTGGCCGCCCAAAGTTAGGAGTTGGTGAGGTCCGAATTGTGTTTTGTAACAGCATTGTACCTCCCCTTTTGTGGATGACTTTTTTTTTTTTTTTCCTCTTTCCTGCCCTGGATGTTGTGTCAGTGGTGTGTCACTGCCCCCTCGGTGGGCAATTTTTTTTTTTTGTTATAATTATGCAGGGATTATATGTCCCCTGTCTTCTGTGTGTTTATCATGTATGTGTTGTATCATGCTTGTGCTTATAACCCCTCGTTGTGTTGTCATGTGTGTTATACTTGCGACTCATTTACTGCCCATCTGCGGCTGGGACTGCGTTTGGTTCTGCATCACAGTCTTTATAGTGTCTTGTCAGTTCATTTTTTGGTTCTTTTCCATTCTGGTGACAGTCTGGTTTGTGCGGCCGTGTTCTTCCCCTCTGGGTTTATTGGGATGTTCCAGGTGCGGAGGAGTTACCGCCCCTCTTCAGGTGTGTTGGCTGTTGTCACCGTACCATTTCTCCTTATCAGTAGACGGATCGGGTAGCCCCATCTATACTGTGCATTATTCTGGCGCATTGCTTCTGTGATGTCTTTAAATTCTTTTCTTTTTTGCAGCGTGGCTGCCGACAGGTCTGTGAAGATTTTGATGTGTCTGTATTTCTGCGGCAGGTCGCGTGCCCCTCTCGTGGCTTGGAGTAGTGCCTCTTTCACGTGAAAGTAGTGCAAGTGTGTGAGCACATCTCTGGGGGTGTCTTGTGGTAGAAACGTTGGCTTTTGCACTCGGTGGTACCTGTCTAGCAGCAGTACCTCTGCGGGTAGGTCTGGCGCCAATTCTTTAAAGTAACCTACCAGGAATGCATGGAGGTCTTGCTGCTTCACATCTTCTGAGATGCCCCGGAGCCGCAAGTTTTGACGTCTAGAGTGGTCCTCCAGGTCCATGACCTTGCGCTGTGTGTATTCCAATTGTTGCTGCATATGTCGCACTTGTTCAGTCATGTCATTATGTGCAGCGGCTTGATCTTCCATCTTTTGTTCCACATGTGCCGTCCTGTCTCCCAGCTCCTGCACGTCTCTGCGGAGTTCCCTCAGAGTGCTCGGTATGGATACCAGGATTTTGCTGGACATATCCTCCAGGCAGTTTTGTAGGAAATCCTGCGTGACCGGTAGGTTTTGTGGCCCAGGGGAAGACTGCAGTGGTCCCGCCGTCGCCATCTTGGTCTTGGTCTGTGAGGCCTGCGGCCTTAGGCGTCGATGCTCTGGTCGTAAAACAGCCGTATCGGTCCGTTTTTTTCGGTCTGTTTTTTTCTGCTTTGTGTTAGCCATGCTGCCAATTATCGAGTGAGCCTTGTGGGAGCTGGTTTATGCTTTTTTCTTGGCTTTTTCGGGCCAGCGTTGTGCGGAGCTCAGATCAGAGCGACCATCCACGTTGCTCGCTAGGCCATGCCATAGACGGCTATTTTTAAGCTATGATGCACCATGTTCATTCACTGAACTACACCCATGCAAAATGTTTACTGTAATACTCATATATATTAGAAAAGTTATATAGTGTATTCTAACTCAATAAAATACACATTGGAATAAAAAACAAAACAAAACAGGATGTAATGGATACGAGTACAATCTATAGATAATACTTTTTGATTACTGATGTTATAACTATTTCACAGGTTATTCATACCTCAAACATAATTCTTCTATAATATGTTTTAATGGAGTGTTTGATATTTGGGAGCATAGTTTAAAAGTCTCTGTATTTTGTTTCTCTAGACAGAATTGAAAGACTCCATTGTAATTTAAAGGCATTACATCTGACAAACGTCAGACACTCTAAATACCAGAACAACTTTAGCTTAATTTGGTTTTGGTATGTAGATCACCCCCTTGCAGTCTCACTATTCAATTATTTAAATGTAGAAAGTAATCCAGGCACTCCAAAAGTCTTCCAAAAATAGGCAATTTTACTGGACCCAAGCACCAAAGTACAACGTTTCGACCCTCAGGTCTTTGTCAAGCTACTAAACACATACACAGCAATACAATATATAGGTGTATACTTAATTAACAGGTGCCAAAACATGTGACATAACAAGATTAAGACATAAGATTTATTAACTCAATTACTTAACCATATAATCACTCAGTGATCATCATTCATTTCCCATCATACCTTATCCAATTGCAGTCCGGTCAGCACTCCAAGGATTCCTGAGAGGGTTTGAGTGCAGTTCCACTATCAATATTCAATTATGTGACATTTAGGAGTTATAATTATGTTTATGAAGTACTAGTCACTCCTCAACTAGCCAAAACAGCTTCTCCACATACGTCTTAAAAAATAGTGAATTTTTTAGATTCCCTTGCTACACAGTGTGTTTAAATTTGAATATTATACCACATACTCTGTTAATAGCCTGCAACAGCCATGTTTGTGATAAAAAGAGCAGGAGATAAAAACTTCTAAAATAAAAGGCACTGTGATGTACCATTTTTGTTATGCAGACTGAGTGGGACTAAGGTACATTGTGTCTAAGGGAGCAAAACAGAAACAAAGGTAATGAGACTGCAGGGGCATGATCTTTACACTATAACTGCTTAAGTGTCCCTTTAAAGATCAACTAACATCTAAACCCAGTTCATTCCAGGCACAGACAAGGCACATAAAAAGAACATATTGAGCGAAGAAAAAGAAACAATGTTTTCTTCCCTCCTCCAGTACATTATGATCTGGCAGGTGCAATGGGTAGAGTTTAGAACTATGATTGACACGCAGTCAAGATGGAGGAATATAGTTTCAGGACAGAATAGTGTGAGTTTTGACATGTAATTTTCTTTTCAGAACACAAAATCACACATTTGTTATATATGGGTGATCAGTAAATGTTGTTTAAAAATCTTGGGAAGTGATTGTCTTATTTAAAAGGTAATGCTGATGGAAACAAGAATCACTATCCATCACACTCATTTATCATTAGGATGTAGAAATGAGGTTTCTATGCCTACAACTAAAATGTTTAGGAACACAGCTATTCTGTAGAGTGAGTAGGTTAGCCTAAGCCTACTAACCTCTAGATGTTGAACTACAACCACTAACAAAATATAGCTGAAATGTAGTCCTATCTTTTTCACTAGTTCAATGGCTATACCAAAAGTAGAAATGAAAAAAAAAAATTAATCAAACACACACACACATTCAAATGTACTGTAAAACAATAATAACTGTAGATAAGCTTACCTCAAATGCCTGTCTTACGAAGTGCTGTTTGGTAATATAATCCTCATTTAATTCCCATTGGAATTTCTTCTGCCTGATAATGCCAATATAACAAATTACATGCATTGTTATCATTCTTGTTTGAAATGCAAGATTTTCCCTGAAGTTTTGTGCCTTATGAATGAATTATGTATGTCCAGAACAACGCTGGGCAATGTTTTTGGAGGTTAATGCTAGACAGTGGAGTTCAAGGGGTACTTATGATATTATTATTATTATTTATAAAGCGCCAAGAAATTCTACAGCGCTGTGGTTGGTCTAACAAATAGAAACAGGTGGTGCTAAGGACGCTGCTCAAATGATCTTACATTCAAGCTCAAATGTGCTTAGGAAATTCTTTTGAAAGAGGAACATTGTGGGGCTTGAAAAAAATTTGTTGGAGCTATGTTCAGCTTATGACAGGAATAGTTTAGTGCACAGTCAGGGTTATTTACTAAGGTGAGAAATCAAAGTGAATTTCAAATTTAAGGCATAAAGCATAGCTTACATTGAGAATTGTGCTTATGGATTAAACCGTTCGAGAATATGAGCCAGCATTAGGGACCTCCAGGCAATATAATAACTTAATTGGAGTTGTTATGGTGCCTGGAGTGTTCCCTTAAATTTGAAATTTGCTTTGAATTCTCACTTCTGGGAATAACTAAGTTCATACTTCAGAACATACTTTGCATTTTAAAGGAACACTCCAAGTGTGCTGTAGCGGTTATAGAGCAATGAGTGCCCTGGTGCCCCTCACAATATACGTAGTCAAGCCATTTGCTAACAGTTTGCCTCCTTACCTTGTGTCCCCTGAGCGCTGGTCCCTGCCTCTTCACTTCCTGTATTGAGTCCTGCAAGTTTAGATTAGTTGACGTTCTCAGCCAATGACCTGATCCTGCAAAACTAGGTTTCGATCAGGTAGAGAATGTCCAGATGTCAGGGGAGCAAGAACTGGTGGCCGGCAGACACCAGCTAATATGACAAACAGCAAACAGTTTGATTACTGACATTGGAAAGGTACAAGGGAACTCTTGGCACCATAACAACTACAATGAGCTGCAGATGTAATAGTGCTTGGAGGGTTCCTTTAATTAATTTTACGGTCCCTATAGTGGCGGAGCCTAACCTTCAAGCTGCCCAGACATGCAGTGCTTGAGCTACTGTAACTAGGCTGACATTTAGGGTTCTGAACCCGAATATTTGGGCACCACGATCGCATCTGTGCACATTTAGGGTCAGAGGTTCTGAGGAAGGCTGATAGATGCCTTTCCTGAGAGTCTACCTTACTATATGTCAAAGAACCTTGCGGAGGCCTACTGCAGACGTCGCTGGGGAGAAGCGGCCGATCTGCAAACGCTTCTGTCTAAGGTCGGAACATACTGCATTCCTAGCCTCCTCCCCCCCTGGACCGGTGTGGGATATCCCGGTCCCCTCTGGGCGACAACAAATCAAGTTATCCATACCACTTACCGGAGGTGACAAGCACCGCTATTTAACATCCAAAATGGCGGACGACTTTTTCACAGGCACAAGCAGCACGAGTCAACCCCAGCAAGCTTACAGCGACTACACAGCATGCTCCCTGGAGCAACTCAATAAAATTTTCCAGCGCTTTTGGCTAAAGATTAACCAACACAACTTATTCAACGAACCTCAGCCAAGACCTGGAAATCACAGCAAAGACCTGGAGATACCCTCAGAGCACAATCAAGGCAAAAAAGCAGCAGCAACCTTTGGCTCACATACCAGGCAGAGGGCAATCCAGGCGTGCCTCCCATTTTCCATGCAGGCGGAGGATTACTAGCACAATGCGGCATTTGCCACGAAAATCCTCCATCCCCTTCCCCCTCACCCCCAGAAGGAGACATGCTCGAGCAGCACCCAAGTCAGTGGCACCTTGATACTGTCTCTCGTATGGGCCGGAGGGTCTCTCCACCCTGGTGTATAGGGACTTGCAGTGACAGGGCCATCCCTGGAAATAGGCTGACCCCGCCTGCACCAGATGATGCTGGTCTACAGTTAAAATATTTGCTTTATCATGCACCTGATTTTTGTTTATTTTTATCTAAGTATAGATAGTATAGTGTCGCACAGCAGCCTCTGTCCCCTGAGGTCCTCTCTTTTGTGAATTCTACTCTTTTTTGTTTTTACTACTTTCTATACAGCCTATATCCTCCTTTCCTTTAGCCCACAGACTAGATATGGATGCTAAGCCTGTTATGTTCCCAACTTCTCTTTATCCACACCTAAAAATTGTGATGTTATTTCATATGCCCTGATATTGTTTATTTTGCATGTTTGCATATTGTTTATTTTGTATGTTTATGCTCGCTTGTTTCTGCTGTTGGGGCATCTCAAGCATGTTTGTAATTCTAAACACAGAAAAATAAAGATTGACAATTTTACTGTCTCTATAGACTTTTACCAAAAATGTGCCACCCATGCAATTGCAACAATGTTCTATAGAGATATTGAAAGTTTAGAAAAAAAAATCTGTATAGTAAAATTCCTTTTGAATATTTAGGATATTTATTTATAGATTTTGTTAATCATTCACTGTAGCAGAATATAAAATAATTGCATGTGATTCTTAAATCACTAAGCCCATTTGTTATGTTCCCTGACAATATGTATAACGGGTTATGATTTTACAGCACTTCAAATTATATCATTAGAAGGTTTACTGACTTTTACCACTTACCTAAATGCTTGTGGAGATGCATTTATACGTATCACTGCATTCCACAAATTTGAAGTTTCATAAGCAGGCTAATGGAATAGAAAGAAAACATGTTTAGTATCAAATACCCCTCTTGTGCTTTGCAATATCACTATAAATGTTTGCATCTCTATCATGATGTTTAGACAATTGGCTAAAAAAAATATTACGGGTACACATGACTGTGGCAAACTTTCTGCAATCATGTAAATCTCAGACAGAGGTGTAGATTAACCTGCATTTTTTTTTTTAAAACACATTTTTATTGGGAATGTGGCATACGCAAAAATCAAGTTGTACCATAGATGAACAAATGTACAAAATGCAGAGGTTGTCTAGAGTGTCTCTGGA